GTAAAAAAATTGTGTGACTTATGATGGCTGGTTGCAAGTTTTGCACTAAGGAAGGGGGTGTATACTTATGCACTGACAAATTATTTTTTGTCAATAATTTTGCAAACTATATTAATCCCCACCCACCCACCCCACTTCTATGTTATGAGATATTTTTCCTGACATATAATCCCAATTAAGTCGATTTTACTTCCAGGATGTAAGGGGGTGAATACTTTTGCAAAACACCATAGCCATATGTGTATAATACAGCACTCACTCTCGGATCCTCGAGTGTAGAACTGCTTCATAGAGTCATAGAGGCCGATGCGGACCGAAGCGAAGCTCATCTGCCGCTGCAGTCCAGCCACCAGCCCGTTGTAGAGACTCCGTGGCCCCTCCATGCGCACCATGGTGGCGATGGTACCAAACACACCCCGATATTTCACCCCTACTGCTCCTTCGGCAGGTTTGGACTCGCCCTGGATCTGGAAATAGCATGAAAACATTGGAGAGGTTAAACCTAAACAAGAATGATTAGGGCATCATATATTAATCAACATTTTCTTAGTTTTCTATATTCAGTTAGTCATTAATCTGAGAATTTAAACCAGGAGTTACCTGGAGCCTGACTTTGGCTGTGTCCAGGGGAAAGGTCACCAAGTCAGCAATGCAGGCTGCTGTTCCAGCACCGAAGAACTTCACAGTGGCTGTAGGAGCCAAATCTGTGGGCTTGATTCCTACCATGTTGTAATTTTTCACTGAGTGAAACAGTCACACTTGTTTTGTTAAATGGATTTTTTGGAACGACTTTTCCAAATACCTGTGATAGGTGCTGAAAGAGCAAGTGAAAAGTGGTAAATGCTTGTGGCATAACATTTACATGATTGTATTATCATTGGTGAATAGACAAATGTTGTTCTGTGTGTTGTATATCATCAGTGACGGATAGACAGACAGAAACTGTTTCAGAAATGTCTATATTCATGTAACCTCATCAGACAGGTAAAGAAAAATATTTGAATGCGAATACTTACCTCAGGTTTCTTCAACAGGGATTCTTTGTTGTTGTCGTTGTTGCAGTTGTCTTCGAGTTTCACTAACTTTGGCCATAAAAATGGATGAAATAGTATTCCAAAGAAGCATACCACTGTAAGCAACCCACAGATAAATTAAAACTAAACTTCTGAAACCCAACATCAGTCAGTGTTTAATACAGTTGAGTCCTAGAAATCATTCACAAAATTTTTTTAAAAGGATCCAAAAAATTAATTTAAGATAACAAGCCATTCCAAAGTGAGTTACCTTGTGTTAAAAATCTTTCAACTGTGAAATGATCAGGAAAAAAAAATAATGCTGTTTCCTGTATAGAGTAGTATTCCAAAGAGCGATCCTCTCCCTCTGAGCTCAGACGCTTCTTATGAGCTGTCAGACAACTCCTGCAATTTATAGGCGTGCAGTCAGGTGACAGCCACACAAGCTGTATGTTCCTAACATCATGCATTATCTAAGTTTAACTCAACTGTTTACAACAGACGTTTCAGTGTAATCCTGGCTGTTTACTAGTTCTGTATGCAAGAAACAACCCTTGCACTTAGACTAGATAACAATATTAGTTTTTGTTCTTCGGATTAATTTCATATGATATTTAATTTATGTCTTAAATTAGATGAGATGGTTAAATCAGTTTATTCATTGTTCACGTCCAAGTAAATATTACTGAAACTGAATATAACACTTATATAACACAATATTTGCATTGAAATTACCGGTTAAAGTAATTACTCTGATTCTGCATTTGTACTTCAAGTGAATAATAGATTTTGATAAACATTTATGGTGTAGGAAAGCTGCGTCACTGTTTCATTATTTATGAAAACACATCTGGAAGCAAGCCAGGGGCTGAATTTCACACCTAACACACACTGCTCTAATTGCCTCATGCACATTTTGGCATCTGAGCAAGAAGTGGGCTTGACACATTTGCTTAAATAGCAACCCAACCTTTATCTTCAGCTGGTTTTGGTGTGTATGGAAATGAGAACCAAGGATGGTGATATGCATAATGAAGGTGGTTAGGTGTTTTGCATATGTTCCGCTGCTAGCCCTTGCTCTAAAAGCCTACATACGAGAAAACATTGCGTGTTTTACTAAAGGAACTTTGTCTGCCTCTTAGTTTTGGCTGACAAAACCGGTTTATATCGTGCAAACCTCTGTATTATGACTCTGTTGTTATATACATGTCAACATTGCCTTGCTTGGCTTAGTTTAAGCACAAAATCTTAACATATAATCTTGAGTAACTCCCCAGTCTGAGAAACACAACGTATGTCAGGCAATCCATAGAAGGCATACTGGTGGGTGTGCATGTACGGCATCTGCAGTCTGGTTGGATCTGTTTCATGAGCCCTACATCACTCACAGACTGGGAGTGGGGAAATGGGGGGATGGGGGGGGGGGGGGGGGGGGGGGGGGGGGGGGGGGGGGGGGGGGGGGGGGGGGGGGGGGG